AATTTACTGTAAATATTTTAAAAGCTGCAGGTGTCTGAAACGACATCCATCAAGCAGGAACAGTTAGTAGGACTTGGTTTGCATAAGCAAGCCGGACACTTGTTGAGGAAGCGTGCACAATCAATTAACGAAAACTAGTCTGCTCCTAGACAGGGTCGTGCTAAAGCAGTAACTACAAATTAAGTATATTCTGCTTACTTCTCAAAACCAGATGATACTTCTGATGACAAGAAACACCTGTCAACATGGCGATAAAGCTTACGCTCCATAAACGAAAGAAATTTCTTAAAAGCTGAAGAAGTAACGAATCCGATAAACAGTTCCTTGTCGTGGACTGATTCCAGGGTTATTTCGTCACCTGTGGGCTTAGAAGTTGTTTCGCTACAGCGGCAACTGGCAAGGCAACTGTGAATGACGAACTCAAAAAGATATGAAATGAACTGGCCCCAAATGGAGCAAGAGCCCTACTACTTCGTCAGCAAAATCTTGCCGACAATGTATGAACCCAGGGTCTTCCAATTACGAGTGCCAACCAGTGCACCGCCATGTTCGGCGGTGTATCACGGTTATGGGGGAGGAGACTGAAACTGCAGAAACAGGAGCTGTATGTTTTCGCCATCATTTTCTGGGAAGTAGTGGCTCTGGAACGGGGTCCACTCAGCCTCGTGAGGATACCTCAGGAGCTACTTGAATTGAAGAGTAGCGGCTCCGGTCAAGAAACCCGAGATCAACGGCAGTGGGGATCCGTTGCGCTGACCACGCGACACCCTCTATCCGCAAAAGTTGGCACTAACATCGCCGACAAGCGGCGGTCGCTCAGTCGGTATAGTTCGCTTGCGGACTATAGGCCACGGAGTTTGTTTTATTCGCCATCAACGTCTAGAATGCACTGGAGTAAACATAGCCTCTTATCCAGCATGTGTTTACAGCTTCTTTGTTTAATTTATTTGAGGCTGTTAACAACTCAGTCTAGAATACGGAGCATTTAATGGCAGGCTTGCTAATGATTCCAATCCAAAACATCGACACAGCAGGATCATTCAACCACGACGTTCTGTTCCGGGTATCAATGACCCTTTTCCTTAGGGTAAAGTGACTGAAATGTGAAGATGCCCACCCGCCTTCATCAGGGGCACTGTGATCTGAAGCTACAGACCTGTACTTCACTGAACCTTAGTCACATGACAGAGGTTATACTTAGAAACGTCTAGTCAGAAATCAATTAGTCTATCATTTCCTCGCAAGATTACCGTCTGCCAAGAGTCAAATATTTCCAGCTGACACTTCATGGTGCGTGAACACAAATTCATTCTCCATATACGTCCCTGAGCAGTATGAGTTAGATCACGATATACAGATTCACGATTCATTATCGTGATCACAGGATTCTCAACCAGGTATGCAGGACATTTCGGGCGCTAAAGCTAGTTCGTTCTGGAACTATACTAATACTGTGTAAGACAAAGTTAATGTACTTCTATTTGGAAGAGAAAACTATGGGTTACTCACCAAGCAATGCCAATAAAAAATATTGTGGCATGATTTAAATCATGAAACACGTGTTTCTACATCTTAGACCATTTAAATTTTTCATCAACTGTCTAAACGCTGAATCTCTCATACTTCGTGCATGGCTCGAGCTTATCAGAGGTTATCTATCACGTTTCGGAAATTTGTGCCAGTTCCGTCTTCAGTTAAACAGGATACGAATCAAAACATACCTCAGTAGAGCTGGTTCGGTTTGACAGAAGCTCCAATTAAGGGCTACACAAATCAACTTTGGCGATAAAAGGGCTGTAAATCCGCATTCTATGAAGACACAAAACAAAACAAACTCCGTGGCCTGTAGTCCAGAAGCGAACTATACCGACCGAGTGACCGCCGCTTGTCGGCGAAGTTAGTGCCAACTTTTGCAGATAGAGGGTGTCGCGTGGTCAGCGCAACGAATCCCTACGGCCGTTAATCTCGGTTTTCTAGACCGGAGCCGCTATTTCCTTGAAATATATCCTCAATTATCCTCACGAGGCTGGGTCGACCCTGTTCCAGATCCACTACTGCTCAGAAAATATGGTAGCCGGGAATCGAACCCGGGACCTCGGGATATGTAGCCAGCAACTCTGTCCACTAGACCACAGAGGCGGTCATACTATGAATATACTGGTATGGTAAATTAAATACACATTATTCCTTCGAAACTTGTTAACAAAATATTATGTAAGAAGTAAAGTCTCTTAAAACTGACAACCCTGAAACAAGAACGCGGTGCCGTGCCATATTCTGATTATTGTTCTGTTCATTTTAACGAAGTCGGCCAAGACGTGTTCAATAAAACCCCACGTTAATGAAACAGGAACGGAGGCCCTGCATGATGCCTACTTCCCTTCAAATTGCTTGAACCCATAGCCTACAGACGATGGAAAGTTACGTAATTTTCGCTGGTGCCTGTGCATATTAGTCTGCGTGGAGCCAAGTTAGGTGGGTCCCTGTCACCACGGCATGGCGCGTCCTCAGGTTGCGGATGGAGGAGACGGCCTCCAGGTATGGAGGGAAGCTGTGAATATAGTGAATAAGCAGTCGCGGACAGCCAACAAGGGTTGGTCCTCCAGCTTGAGGGTTGGACGTGGGGGTAGCAACTACTCCCCGTAAAAAAAAATAAGCTTGTTACAAAATATTTCAAGATGGATATTAAGAGACATGGCTGAATAGTACGGACTGGATCGATCTGGCTCAGGATAGGGACCTGTGGAGGGCTCTTGTGAACACGGTAATGAACCTCCGCGTTCCATAAGATGCTAGAAGTTCTGCGTGGCTGCACAATCAGCGGCTTCTCAAGAAGGGCTCAGCACCATGGGCGAGTGGAGAGAGTGAAACTAATCACACAAAGGCTCGACGTTGCATACAATTACAACACGCCTGTGTTTCTTAACAAGAAGTTCTGGGAAGAAGTGGGCTAAGAAAGATTCGTGCAGAATTTGCAATTTCAATTACGCCGCCCTAGTCTAATCAGCTCCAACAGTTACTACTTATTTCAACGGGTATTTACAAATTACGCGTGGTCTCCCTGCTGCTTTAAATTCCAAAATAAATAAATAAATATCATTACATTGGAAACGCCTGTTATAGCATGGAGTTACTGGACCCCACATTACGAGGTAGAAGCCGGGATAGAGTAGTCGATATAACCACTGGGTACGGGGCTGGACGACCCGAGTGGTCGGAGTTCGAATTCCGGTGGGGGTAAGACTTTTCACTTCACATAGTCCAGACCGGCTATGAGGTTCACCCAACTTCCTATCCAATGGGTACCGGGGGTAAATCGGCCGGGGCGTGAAGCTGACCACTAACCACTCACTTCCAGCTAATGCCGAGGTCAAGAATATGTGGATCTATACATCCATTCCCCCATACGCCTTCATGGACAGCTTTGCCTTACGCGGTGCTACTACAGGGTTACCTCATTCACGTCGGCAAGTTAATATCGGGGCAAGAAGATTGGGAAGTTGGGAAGTACAGCAGATGGTCACTACCGAGGCAATCTTCATAACACGTGACGGATGGGAGGACACGCTCAGACTGTGTTCGTGTAAGTGCACCAAGCCCTCCGGATCTCGCGTGACAATGGGAGTTAAGAGGCGGCAGCGCTACGCTTGGAGACAACTGTAACTCGGTTTTATTTCGTAGAATTCAGCTTTAACAACACCCGTAATTTAAAAATACATTTCATAAATTAAACGTGGTTCCTTGATTTGAAATCTGTCTCGTGTGTCTCGCTCCTTCTTAGATGACAGAGGCAGTACATTTCTCCGAAACGTCGACAGACTACAATCAGACTACACGGCGTCTTATCCCAGGAGACCGTACTCAAAATTTATGCTGGGGTTTGCTTAAACAAACTGCACTTCGAAGCACAAGTGATATTCCACAGGGCTATACTATCTGTGGAAAATGTGGATCTATACATCCACTCCCCCATACGCCTTCAAAGCTTAGTTCTTAGATCACTGGGCGCAGGGGTAAAATCAGATCTAGATTTGATACTATCTATGGTTCTACAGCCTTTTATTGGACCTTGACCGCTTTTTCAGTTTCTTAATCCTCTATACAGTCGGTAGGGCCCCTTAGACGGGGGGTTCAGCCAGTCGCAGGCCGCTACGCACACAAACATCCAGTCCTTGAATGGGATTCGAACCCACGATCCCAGCGTTCGAGCGAGCGAAGACAGTTCATGCCTCAGACGGCGCTGCCACTGCGACCGGCTACATAGCTATAGGGGGCCCACTCAAGTTATAAGGGTTATCACCCCGAAGGGCAGACAAGACATGTCAAATGAAACGGCGCGTTTTGTTGGGTAAATTTACAAACATTCCGTCATAGGCTTAAGGTACTGCAGACACTTAACAGAAGGCCTAATAACAAATTTTCGTAGGAAATGTATTTATGCGGACTCGAATTCTATTTATTCCGGATGGTGGAACATTCATGTGCCATAAACAGGCCTAAAACTGATACTTGCCTCTTAACCTCTTGACTCTTCGAACGGGAGCATACAGAAAGCAAATTCGGAGAAGAAATCTTAACGACAAATATGCCTATTTGCGGCACACTTCATAAATACAGGGCACGGAAGAAAATACATCTTGTACGTAAATTCCACAAAACCATCCGTGGATTATGATCTGATGTGTCTCTAAAAACATTTCCATGCCTTAATAAATAAGGTAATTACTGTACAGGTTAGAAACCACTTAATTACCGAATTCCAAAATAGTATCAAATTAGAAACTACAAAAATTTAAATAAAAAATTATACATACAAATAGGAAAATACGTTTCCAGCAGAGCACACCAGCCATAAATGAATTTACGTTGTATCATAATTTACATTATATGCATTAAAAGAATAAAACAGGGCTGATACTTCCCGGCCCAAATAACAAGAGACACGAATGAACCCAGTTTAACGCATGGTTACGCCCCTTTCTCATAACCCCAGTCATTACCTCATTTCTGGTCCTCCCCCGTTCTTGGCATCGTCACTGCTATCCATTTCTGGTGACAGAGTCATGCTGGAAGGTGTGTATCCTTCTGCAGCGACAAACTCCATGAATTCACGTCACACGGCCCTTCTAATGAATGACAAGGCTTCACTTCGTTACACATTCACTACACTCTGCATGCTGAAACAGCAATCGTCCCAACATCATCACGAAACTGATTTCTGATGGCATCCCACAACTTGTGACGTCACAGTTTCAATATGACGTCAATTCCTTAACACAAGCAGAACTCACTAGACAAAATTTGACTGGAATCGCAGAAACTGAAAAATCCTGGCTGAAGAACAGAACTCCACAACTTCCTTGAAGAAATCGACTTCGCCCATCTACTTCATATGCAATAAACAGGTTATACGAATACTACTACTCTGTCCAAAAACATCAATTTCCGTGTCTCTTGCCACACACCACACTACAAGCGAGCGATGTTTCTGAAGCAACGCTCACCGCCAGAGAGGCACGCAGCTTCTACTCCGTTGCAACTATACACAGGTTCCCCTCCCATCGCGCAAATCAGCCCCCCTCCAGCAATCATTCCCCCGCCCCGCACACAAACCTAGGTCACTCCCATGGCAGATTTCGCCGTATCAACATCCACAGCTCCCCTCCAAACATTTATCCCTCATACTCTCTCCATTAATCTATCAAATCCCGCCGGCCTCCTCACACTCCGAACCAAATTCATGCGGTCACATGGGAGGGAGGGAACCCAGACTGTGCTACCATCTAGCGGCACGGGAGCGGTATTAACTAATCGAAAGAATGAACTCTCTGCTCTCACATGATCAAAGAAGCACAGCAGGACACGTCATCTTGAACGCATTCGGAACTGCTTCCGCCGTCCTTCGACGTCTATCTTGTAGCAAAGCGAATTTAATGGCAGCGCAGTGTGGGGTTATTGACCATTTCGGCAAAAGCGTGCCAGTTGCCAGTGGGCCTACTCCTATAAATTTATTAATTAATAATGTAATAAATACAACACAACATTAACGACATAACTGCACAGGGCTCTGGGAAAAAATGACTTGAATCAACTAGCAACTTAAACAAGAAGCTCTGGGAAAGACTAGTCGCATACTGCCGTTTTATGATACGGACCGCATAGAAATTGACGCCTCCAACAATTCTTCGTTGTATCCAGAACGTGTTTACCAAGCCGTTGCCTAGCAACGATAGGGGGTTACACAGAACGAGACTCCTTTGATACGACATAGAGCACAATTCTTCCACTTTGAGTGTATTCCTTGCATCCAGAAAGTGTTTACCAAGCCGTTGCCTAGCAACGATATGGGACAACAAAAACGAGACTCCTTTGATACGACATAGAGCACAATTCTTCCACTGTTGAGTGTATTCCTTGCATCCAGAAAGTGTTTACCAAGCCGTTGCCTAGCAACGATATGGGACAACAAAAACGAGACTCCTTTGATACGACATAGAGCACAATTCTTCCACTGTTCAGTGTATTCGTTGTATCCAGAACGTGTTTACCAAGCCGTTGCCTAGCAACGATAAAAGGGATACATACAGATGCACGGAATGAAGTAACACGGTGAGATGGGCTCTGTGGCCATGATACATGTATCCAGTGTCATAAAGACTGGTCAGAAGGTGTCAGGAGGGGACTCGGTCTACATACACAGAGAGCAAGGTGACCTCGCATACACCTACACTTGTTTTTAATAAGGAAAGTAAGCTAAAATCTGTCCACTCATATTTTCATGTTCACTTCCGGTGTGCTCGGCCGTGACGAATGAACGAGTATACTTCCATTCAAAGCAACAGAAAGTGTTTTCCGTCCTGACAATGGGCGGTAAAATGGCGAAACATGCAACTACTCCTAGGAGGGCCTTGGGTAGACCCTCGGTTGTACCCATGACCAGAACGTGCACCTCTAAGGGCGAAGGCACACCAAGGAAACTGGCAACCGCAACGCAACCGCAATTTCCGAGAATTACCAGCCTGAGTTGAACACATTTAACTGAATAGAGCAGCGCAAATTGAGGAAACGGTAACGCCGTAGCATGTGTGCAACTCAAGCTGATAACGATTCTCGGAAATTGAAGTTGCGTTGCGGTTGCCAGTTGCCTTGGTGTGTCCTCGCCCTAATAGGCCTACTAGCTAAAAGAGGCTGCCCCTATGACGTAAACATGGAACATGCAAGTGTACTTTAGTGTCATAAACAAACAAGAGAGGACGTCCCTTTTCAACTAATGTGCTTAGAAGTCTCTCTTCTTCAAAGATATACCGCGTTCATATAATGCACTCTCGAGCTCAGGGATGCTTGTCCGAAACTGAAAACCTGCTTTTGTCTGCAAACATATGTTACCATCAACACACTGGCAATTCCATGAAAACAAAGCAACAGCTGTGCAAATTTGCTTCGCGGGATGCGGCTCCGTCTAGGCAGAACGCTACCGACGTTTCGATGGAACCCGCAGTCACAGCCGTCAGCAAAGCTCATATGAAAGGTAAGCTGCTAAGTTGCCACTGTGCTTAACCAATCTAGCACAGCGCCATGAAGACGTATTGGGGGGGTGGGGGTGGATGTATACACACACGTTTTCTTGATCTCGGCACCAGTCGGAGGTGAGTGGTCAGCTTCACGCCCCGGCCGCATTACACAATTGGATAGAAGGCTGGGTGGACCCCCAAAGCCGATTTGGAGGATGTGAAGAAAATTCTTGGTCCTATCAGGACTCGAACTCTAACCTCTGAGTCGCTCAGGCCGTAGCTAGTCGCTACTCAAGCTTGGGGGTTGGACGTGGAGCACGCAACTACTCACAGTAAAAATTAACCTTCTTACGGAAATGTTCAGGAAGCATCGGACCTGGACAGAGTCCTTGGATAAACGGCCTGAACTAAACAAAATGGATATGAGATTTGGTACTTGGAATGTAGGAAGTTTGTATAGGGCAGGTTCGTTCAGGGCAGTGGCAGAAGAAATGTCAAAATATAAGTTAGATTTAGCGGGAGTACAAGAGGTCAGATGGGATGGAGGTGGCATCGCACCAGCAGGAGACTATACATTTTTCTATGGAAAGGGGAAAGAAAATCATGAATTAGGTACAGGTCTTTTTGTACATAAGAGAATCGCATCAGCAGTTAAGAGGGTGGAGTTCGTTAGTGATAGGATATCATATATAATACAAAAGGTCGCTCGTGTGATCTCATTTATGAATGTTCACGCCCCAACAGAAGATAAGACATAAAGGATAGATTCTATGAAGAACTAGAAAATGTATTTGATAAATTCCCGAAGTACCCTAGGAAAATTTTGTTAGGAGATTTCAATGCCAAAGTAGGGAGGGAAGACATTTTCAAACCAACAATTGGGATTGAGACTTTGCATGAAATTAGTAATGATAATGGAGTTAGAGTAGTAAACTTTGCCACATCAAAAAATCTTACTGTCAAAAGTACAATGTTCCCACATCGCAACATCCATAAATTTACTTGGATATCTCCTGATGGGAAGATACACAATCAAATAGAGCATATTTTGATAGACAGGAGACGGCACTCAAGTACACTTGATGTCCGATCATTCAGGGCAGCAGATTGTGATACTGACCAGTACCTGGTGGTGGCAAAGGTTAGGGAAAGCCTGGCAGTGAGTTGTAGGATGTCATTATATGAAGAGACAACCACTTGTTGAACTGTTCTATAATATTTATTACAGTTGTACAGTGTATACAGGCGAACTTAGTTTGAAGAACTGAAGAATAATAATAATAATAGTGAACTCCTTGAACACCGAGGTAGAATTATAGAACTGTAGAAATCTAGAACTCAAAGTCAAAGTCACATTGCGAATGACGGTCGGTCGGTCAGTCAGTCAGTCAGTCAGTCAGTCAGTAAGTGTTGGTGTCGAGCCCCAGATATTTATTACTGTTTGACATTTACAGTCTTGTTTTTTTGAGGGGTGCCCTCTCTGACGAGAGGAGGGGGTCTGTCTTTTATATATGCTGCTGGCCCTTGCCAGCGCAGTCTTTCTCGGGTCCGAGTCCCTCGAGACTCGCGACCATATTTTACTGTCTCAGATTAGAAGTCAGAGTCAGAGTCAGAGTCACGTTACCACTGACGGTCAGTCAGTCTGTCTGTGTCCTGTCCATGTGTAGCGCCCTCTCTGACGAGAGGTCGGGTCTGTCATTTGTTAGTCAGTCTGTAGTAATTTGTCCATTGTCTGTATTTACACATA